AAAATAATAATTTCTCCCCAGCTAATCTCTTCAAGAAGCAGAATAGGCATATTATCAGAGGAATGAAAACTGATGCTTAATCAATACATTATCCGGTGTCATGTTTTACACGTATACAACAAGACATAATACAGACCTCTATACAGGCCAATCACTTTTTTCAACTGGAATGTATATGGAAAAAAGTATTTTCAATAATTGTCTTTTACTTTTAGATCATTAAATGTTTAGGAACCCACATTGTAAACAAGCTAAATTAAGACATAGAACATTTTTAACACTATTATGCAGCTATTCAATAAGAGCTACAATTAACAGATCAGTGACAATGTAAAGAGTTGTTAATGCAAAAAAAGAACAATAGAGAAGACAAGAAAGTATTCAGTTAATATGTTACAGCACTTTATGTCGAAAGTAGCTGGAAAATAAAGCCTAACAAGTAGTTTTTACTACATATAACAAGCTTTTTATTGAAGCTGGTGCAGGTGGTGCTGAGTCAAACTAACCTAAAAGTTGTTATATAAGCATTTTATATATTTTGTTAATCATTTAACACAATATGTTTCTGTTTAATGGACTAACACCAGAATGATCTGCTTGGAGTTGAAGTACAACTTGTATTGTATACCACTTTGTTGAAGCTAATCCCCTTCTGTCCGACAGTGAGTTATAGTTAAATTAAAAACAAAAAAGGGACACAACTATTGGTTGTTTTTTTGTCAAGAGTTGTTGATCCGCTGAAAACCGAGCATTCCTTTAATGATGGGGCTCTATAAAGCTGTCAGCATCAATGAGCAGAAATGATAAACGGAGCTCGAGTCGCTGGTGACGTGGTGGGGGAGGAAGACGGAAGGAGGAGGAAGGAGAAGAGAAAAAAAGTGGGGGGGTGTCGCAGAGGCCTAGAGCCTCTGAGAATGCAGGCCGAAAACAGCGCGAGGCTGATGGCATGCTGGTCTGTGTCAGTGTGTGGTCCGATTCAATGGAAGTGAGTGTGTGTGTGCGTGCATGTGTGTGAGAGAGGGAGAGAGATAGAGAGAGAGATAAAGAAAGAGAGCGAAAAATGCGCACGCTCACGCACGCACACACCACCCGCTTTCCTTCCCTGCACCTGCGCTTGATCAGCAGGCTACTGGCTGCCATTCAGTCCCTCTGTGCTCCAAACCAACACTGACGCACACACACACACACACACACACACACACACACACACACACACACACACACACACACACACACACACACACACACACACACACACAGCTCTCTGCTCTGACAGTTTTGCTATTCACTATTTGCTATTGCTAGTCTTTCTCTGAGATAAAGCCAGATATAGGCCTATCAACAGTCTTTAAAAAAATAAAACTTCCTGGTTGCAGAATGATACAAACTCCGTTGGGCTCATAATAACAATTATTAACAAGTGTTCAATTGTATTGACTCAGCAGTATGGGAAGGCATATACTTTGCTATACTTTTCAGCCCAAAAATGCTGACCTTTATTCATACAACGGAATCGTTATCAATGGGAAAAAGTGTGAACATTAAAAATATTGACTGAATGAAATACATGTCTGCAAGTTGTAAAACATACAACTGGAAATATATTTAAAAAATATGAATTTGTTTTTAATTAGAAGAGCTGTCAATCAATCAGGTAGTGGAAACATGTTGCAGTACTACAAACATATTTGGTGAAGAGGTCAGTAATGGCAATGAATGGCAAAACATATTTGAAAATATACTTTTTATTCTGTTAGTTAGACTATTTTATGATTTATGATTGGTCTGATTAGCCTGCCCATTTATTTGCCATTAGGCTAATACTGTCCAGTTCAATCGGGCCTATACATTAATTTTCCTGATGACAATTGGATTACTTGTCCACCACAGAAGAAACTATAAATTAAAGTAAACTAACCAACGGAAACACACATCAGGACCGAGCGCTTTGTGTGGGTGACGTCATGCCCCCTCCTCCTTATTATCCGCAACGTGGTGAAAAAGGAAAGTGGCTCTCGTGGGATTACAGGCCACTAAACTCGTTTTGTTTGTGTGTGAGTGTGTGTGTGTGTGTGTGTGTGTGTGTGTGCGGGTGAGGGGGGTCATTTGACCTAATTTTAAAACTCGTATCATCTCAAAAACAAACATACATAGGAATAGGAAAACGGCCAGCATATGATAGACCGAAAACTATGATCTCGCATTGTAGAAAAATGATATTAATTCAAAAATATAAGTATCTAATGTTTTATTTTGTCTGAGGCCTTGTGGTTAATGACACACTGTGAAGGAGCGAGATTCTTAAGGAAATTTAGTTTATTCTTTATTATAACAATTAGAATAATAACTTTTTTTCGTGCCTCCAATAACAAGTAAAGTGTTACATCTACAAAATGTAACACTTCACATGTTGTGATAAAGGCCACTAGAAAGAGCCCGAGGTCTATATGCAGCGCACACACACGCGCCAGGTTATTATAGATAACATCTAGGCGTTTTTTTTAAAGAGGGGGCAAAAAAAAGCAGAGGCTCGCGCTTACCACCTGTTGCAGTCCAAATATCCTCGAGCTGCGACAGCCAGACTCTGCACGCGAGCAACAGAAGGGGAGACGGATGGATGGATGAACGGACGGATGGGTATATAAAGATGGATGGGTGGATGAATGGTGGGTGGGTGGATGAAAGGATGTAGGGGAACACCTTGACCGGGCCTCACAGTTTAACCACACAAACACACCTGCTGATGTAAAATGAAAAGTGTTCTTTTAGTAGCAATCAGGAACATTACATATGCCGTAAACATAGCCTAACTTTAATTTTAACTAAGTATTATAAGGTTGGCTTCAGCCCCCGCATTATCACCGTATGAGGTGTAACATGTGAGACACTTGATTCTCTGTCTCACTGTCAGCTGCTGTGCTGTGCAGAGCCTTTATTTAATGTTTGAACAGGAGCGCCATTGAGCTCCAAGCTCCTGTGAGATTAAATCACTTTTTGGAAAGCACAGGACTAAATGCGGGCTAATATTTTTCTACTGCGATAACGCGATATCAGTGTTTTCAGAGTGAACATTTACCGTGTCCCACTTTGTGGCCTCACTCACACGGGAAGGGACTATATTATCATTAATATATTAAGGTTTTCACAATAAAATACAAATAGAGTGGACATTTAAAAGCATGGATGTGTTGCCAAAAATACTCCCAAATAAACTCCTGAGAGAAGGCATCAGTATCAAACACAACATGATAACATGTGTAGCATATAACACGTTGGTTTTGTTTTTTAAAAGAAGCCCAGGCCTTAAACCCTGATTTTGAACATGCAATCTTTACAGGCGTTACAAATAATCTTCAGCTTTTTATGAGACTCCATAGAAAATACAAGTTAACCATCAAATACATAATGTATTCTCTGCATTCAAAAAGCGTTTCCACCACATCAAAGGTGCTGCGCTCAGCCGGGAAAAAATAATCATTTTGCGGGGCCTCCGGGCCTGCAGGGGCCCGGTGCTCGTGGAAAAAAACGAGACTTTAATGCGTCCGACCTTTTAAAAACAACTGGTTTATCACCGGTGTGCTCGGCTATTACAACCAATTCAGCTGCTCGGATCAATAATTAATGGGGCAACCAACGATCCCCTGACCTCTTGAAGGTCCGGCTGAGAGAGACAGAGAGGGGGGAGAGGGAGAGGATAAATACTGAGGGGCCTCTTCAAATATTCATCTGCCGGTTAATGTGAGCTCCACTCCCCCGGGACCCAGCCTGCAAGACACAACGGCCCTAATCTACCTCGCTGTGTACACACACTCTCTCTCACACACACACCAGATTTAAAACCGTTAGTTAAATTCAGGCGAGCAGTTAGCTCATCATAAGGATTATTATTATTATGGGGGAGGAGGGGTGGCTGGTAGATGCATGGGAACGTTTTGGAACCGGTTCCGTGTTTTTTCTAAGGCAGGAGGGGTTGTTGGTAATGATGAGTCCCGGTGAGCTTGAACCGTGAGAACCGGGGTTAACGGGAAACAGCAGGGCCCGTTTGATTAAACATTAAATTAAAATGGGCTCACTCGAGACTTTATATGGAGCCATTACATGGCGGGTGAAAAAGCAACTCGCTGGTCCCGCTCGCCTGGCTCCTTTCAACAGGGCTCACCTTTCAATTTAGACCTAATTGAACATTTAGAGTGATAAGCTGCAGCTCCATTATTTTGAGTATTCAAAATATAGTCCAAAAAGTATCACACCGATCTTATTAGTTAAACCAAACATCGAGAGGAACTGTAACAAAACAGGCCTGAGCTCAAAGGATTAGGTTGTTGTAAATACTCATAGACTGCTGTCACAGTTAAGTGTGGTTAAAATTAAAATCCACCAATGACAGAAATGCTGAAGACAGTTTACACCAATCTATAATAACTGTAAATTAATTATGGAAATAAATGTGTTTTTGATGCCCGTTTTTTAAATAACCTTATTAGTTCTCACTCAGTCTCCTGTCCCAAAAGCAGGCAAAGATATTTACACACAATAATAAATAATGTAGAAATAAATTCATTAAAAAGAAAATATATGTTGAAATGTAGCCTGGGCCTCAACAGCCATTATTATTGGTGATTAGATTTTTTTGTTTAAAAAAGGATAGATGACATTATATACTTGGGGATGTTCGGAATGTTGTTTGAATTTTGGCCGACTTTTGTTATGAAACAGGCAACAAACCTTGGCTTGATGGGACCCTCCGCAGGCACTAGAAAATAGAAACCATGACGCCCAGTTATTTGAACAGTGGAGTTAAAAAGAAGCAATGATAACCCCCCCAAATCTTTTTTTTTCTAGCCTAGATATTGTACTTTATATTCATGAAGATGTAAAGAGTCAGTGTTACAGTTACAGGAATTAATTAACATCAGAAGAAAGACAGAAAAGCTCCACAGACAGAGGACAATTGAAACAAAAATACGAAAGAGAAATAAAATCAAAACTCAAACAATTTCAAGTATCCAAATTTCCAAAATTTATTCATTTCAAACTGCATATTGAAAAAAAAATATACTCAGCTGAAATTGTAACTGTTATAAGGATGGTATTAGTTCCAGTATATACATGGAGTGGTTGGCTTCTGCGTACAGGCCACCATTTTTAAAATACAACTACGGGAATGGATTTTTGAAATAAAAACTTAAAATATCACAGTAAATATACAGAAATTGTACAACTCAATTAGAAAATAAAGAGCACAAGCGTCATACCTCTAACAGATGAAAAGTGGGAGACGGAGATATAAATTAACAACCTATATTTTAAGCTGTATGAGAAAAAAAAAGTGTCTTATCATTTTTTAGGAAATTAAAATGTTAAGTAGTATTGACCTTAAATGAAAAAACAGTACCTGCTTCGTTTTATGTCCCTTTTCTTCCCAATGTTTCCTGTATAAAGGAGCATAACTGATCACTCCCATTATAATTCCAGTTCTGCCATCTTCACTTTTAATATTTTCTGCAGAACCGGCGTTGCTTTATATATATAGAAAAAAAGAAAAAAAGAAATTGCAACCTCTTGCAGTTTAACAAACAATTTAATCTGATTGTAATGTTTCTTTGATAAATACTGTACAAAAAGGTGATTGCAATAATAAAACATTTGATTGCGACTCCCACTTTCTAGTCTTCCAAACTTCATCCACCAGTGACCAGGGGATCTCCTACCGTTCCTCTAGAGCTTCCTTAGAATAAAATGAAAGAAAAAAAGAGTCGTGTGTCCTTTTCCTGGAGACTTCTATACAACTTTTCCCACCCCGAATTTTTTCTGTACAAAAATAGTCCAACGTTAATAGTCCACAGTTTATCTTATAAAAGTTCATTTTTTCTCTCTTTCTCTCTCTGTGTGTCTCTTACATGTGTGTTAAGGGCAGCGTGCCGTTGATCGTCGTCCCGGGCACGGTGCTCTGGTAGTGGCCGGACATGTGTAGCCTGGTCTGGGCGTTCTGCTCGCTGACATCCGCCCCGGGCAGGTACATGCTGATCATGTCCCTCAGATCCCCGCTTTGGCAGCCCGGGCCGGCCCGGTGGGACGACGAAGTGACGACGGGAGGGCTGGAGCTGCTGGACTCGGACTTCACCACTGAAGAGGGCCCCATGGAGCCCAGGGCGGTCATCCCAGGCGTGCTTTGCTGGGAATAGGACATGGAGTATGTCGGGGAGCCGTTCATGTAGCCCTGGGAGCCTGTCATGCTGTTGTACTGCAGCGCACTCATGTCGTAGCGGTGCATGGACTGCATCTGGCTCGGGTTGTGCGCGTTCAGCCCCGGGTGCTGGTAGCTCAGCTGGTCCTGCATCATGCCGTAGCCCCCGTTGGTCCAGCCGTTCATGTGTGCCGCGTAGCTGTCCATCCGCTGGTTCACCCCACCGCCCAGCCCGCCCCCCACACCGACCCCAGATCCCATCCCGTTTCCTCCCGGAGCCAGCAGCCCACCGGGCAAGGTGTACTTGTCCTTCTTCATGAGGGTCTTGGTTTTCCGCCGGGGCCGGTATTTGTAATCCGGATGCTCCTTCATGTGCAGGGCCCTCAGCCTCTTGGCTTCGTCGATGAAAGGTCTCTTCTCGCTCTCGGACAGAAGTTTCCACTCGGCGCCCAGCCTCTTGCTTATCTCCGAGTTGTGCATTTTGGGGTTTTCTTGCGCCATCTTCCTCCTCTGGCCCCGGGACCACACCATGAATGCGTTCATGGGTCTCTTGACCCGCTCCGGACTGTTTTTCTGGTTGGGTCCGTTTCCGGACGTGTTGTTGCCCGGGCCCCCCGTGTTGGTTTGGGGAGCAGGGGGCTTCAGTTCAGTCTCCATCATGTTATACATCAGGAACAGCTTTTAGTTGGACCTCCCGAGAGGGGGGAGAGTTTAAAAATAAAAACACACAGAGACAAACTCCACAAGCCAGAGGCAGGGCAGTGGGGAGCGCAGTGCTGCTGCTGCTAAAAGTTACCTGTCGATTTTGCTCTGCAACTTTTTCTCTGGAAAAAAAACAACAAGCCGCGTCTCATCTACACACTATCTCTTCTCCTCTCGGTGAGTGTGGCTGAGTGTGTGTGGGAAAGAGCCTTCTCCCAATAGGTCCCGGCTATGTTGTGTCCACAAAACTTCTCCTGTCGCCTCTCCGAGAAAGCATCAACAAACTGTACTTTTCGCCTGTGTCCGCCTGAGCCTTGTCAACTCCAGATAGTTTTTGAACAAGTTAATAGACAACCATTCATGTGACGGGGCTGTCAGAGAATAAATGGCTTCGACCTGGCCAATCAGAGCGGGCCTGCTCCCCTGACACACCAATGGGAGGCATTAATTAGCATAAATGGGCGGGGCTGCTCTGCCCCGAGACACACGCACACTCAGGCTGCCCATATGAGCCAATATAAAGTATTTACTATTTCCAGGCTTATGGAGATATTTCTATGGAAATATATGCACACTGGCAGTTATATTTATACAGAGAAAGATGAAGTTGGAACACATATTTCTGGCTGTTTAGAAAAATCGTTTTGCAAACAAGTAAAATACAACTTTCCTAATAAACACAAAAAATAGCCTATGTCAAAAATGGTCTAAGATATAAAGCGAACAATGAATGTTTCGGTTGTTTTCTTATTAACATTTGCAACATCCAAATCTAATCTAAAGTGCAAAGGGTCATTTGTAATACAGTATGAACAAAATAAATAAAAACTGTTAAATGAATTAATCAAATGTTGACATTAATGGTGTCAGTATCATCTTATCTTGAACAGCATTGTTCTGACATTAAGTCCTGGCCCGTGACACTTCTGTTGTTCAGAATCAAAAAGTCACTAATGCCCCCACTTACCGGCCCAATAACATAACAACACTTAAATAAACTTTGTTAGTTGACTCAAAGCGTTGAATAGCGCTGGTGTGTGTGTGTGTGTGTGTGTGAGGGGGGGGGGGGGGGGGGAAGCCACGGCTGGTTTTTAGCGTTGAAAAGAGGAAAGGTAATCCAAGATGTTTCCCCCAGCCCTTTGTTTAGTGAAGTTGAATGCCAACACACAGAAGGCAGACGGGCTCATCTCAGCACAAATAAGCGGTTTTTGTTTGGGATGTTGTCGCTACATCTGTCCGGACAAAGACCCAACTCCACTCCACTTCCACTGCCACAGTGCTGCTGTTGTTGTTGGGGCTTTGTAGGGGGGGGGGGGGGGGGGGGGGGGGGGGACGTCCTACCGGGGACACGAGGGGAGGAGAAATAAAGGTGAGGAATATTTTAAGATAAAGTGTGTTTGCACAAAAGGCACAGCTCATTCATATCAGCCTGAACAAGCGTGTCAGCCAATTAGTGTGAATGAAAAGCGGCCTCCACCTGCTTCACTTTATTCCAGATCAAACCGAACACACTGCGATTACTATGACAGAAAACCAATATCTTCGTGTTTAAAGCGAAATTATTCACTCATATAGTTTTAATATCCAAAAAGGACTAAAGTTATGTTTTACGGTTGGAAGTGTGGGTGCCACTTGTTTTGCTTCTGCTGAATTTCCATCCTAAAGACAAGACTGTGGGACACTAGTGTCGCCTACTGGACAGAGAGGGAACTGCAAGCAACTGCAAATGCCCAGACAGGCTTCTCCTCACAGCAAAGGGGAAGCTTGTTTTTAGAGTTCGGTTAATTTTTTTTATTATATGCATTTTTATTTTAACATGTATATATTATCCAGCAACAGTTGAAAAATAACAGACAGGCACAAGGTGTATTCAGTCACAACACAGCCTGTCTGCAAATCAGACAACCCCAATAATTAAAGGTAGATCAAGTACATACACCTGAAATAATTTAATTAAATGCGTGTCTCTAGATTAAATCATAATTGAAAGTGAATGGATCAAGCCTTATTATTTTGTTTTAGTCATTTGATAATAAATGGAGGAGCGGAGCCCCCGTGCTCTCATTATGCCGGCCCCGGCCACCTTACATAAGATTCATCTTGTGCTTAATAGGCTGCGAGAGGCGACACATGCAGCTCGGTCCATTATAATGCAAGGTTGAAATGGGGCGCTCGGCTGCTATCTGCATCTGAGTGTGTTCCCCGCTACCTCTAATCTGCTTATGATAATAAAGGAACAGCGGGGCCCTGCAGCTCTCTGAAAGCAGGCCCCATCCAGCCGGGAATGGCCCTGCATCCACAATCATCCTGAATTAAAGTCGTTGTTAGACAAAAAAACTGTAGAAACTAGCAGGGCGGCTCCCTCGGACCACTTGTAAGCTCCCCGCGATACACCAGGTTGGGATGGATACAGCAAATACAGCGGGCACCCCACGCTGTGATATCAAAATACTGTTTAGTGGTTTCACCAATTTAAATGATTTAGGATCACTGCAAAAACAGAGCAACAATATAACTGGAAAATATTCTAACAACTGCGCAAAGACGACGTCAACTCATACAAAAGTATGGCATAATGCTACTTTTGGAACTAATAAAATGCAAATACAAGCTTACACGTAACACAATTAAAAGTAGTTATTATGTTGAAGATTTGAATTGGAATTATTATTGTAGGCCTATATATGGCAATGAGAGGTACAGATTTCAGGTGAAATGGAAATAAAATTGTCTCTTCTTTCCACTAGGGGCCGTAACAGGGGCTGGGGATGCAGCCGAGAAAATACTTCATGAAATCATTAATAAATCCTGCTCGGAGATAATTGTGGAAAATATAAATAACGTAGAGCTTGTTTTCCTTTTATTTTTAGATAAACATAGGAATACAATTGAAGACACGAGTTTATTGCTCAAGTTATGGTTTATCTCATAATTTTACTATTTCTTGCAAATAGATTTGGACATGATATATTTATGATATTTAAGTCGATGACAAACTTAAAATAGTTAGCATTTTACACAGTATTTGTCAGGTTGCAACTTTGACAACATTTCGTTTAAGGCCATATGCAATTAAAATATAAAGCAAGAAAATAAATATATTAATAATATAAATAAAATGTTAAGCATATTAAGCAGAGAAAAATAAAAAACATTTATTAATGTAATCTCCTAATTAAAGGTCACCGATTTTAGAAATAACAATCCAAAGTTTTCTGTATAATTTGTAATTAAACCAGCGTTTTTTTGCCGTTGTATATAATACATATTCAAAGGGGAAAACATAACCATCATTATTACCAAATACGTCAAGGAAATAAATAAAATGTGATATCCATATTTATTCTGTCTGCACAGATGATCTATGTGCATGTTGAGTAAAGCAAAGCGGCCAACAACTCAGACAGTCAGTGAAGCTCATGATGCCATGCGGTGTCATTCCACAACACTGCATGGTTTACACACACCCCGACTCAAACACACACTTAGATACACACCGACAGCAACACACACACAAACGGCTTCTCCTCTCCACCGCACTCCAACTTACTGCCGGTTTGGGAGTTGTCCTCCTCTCGTCTTGATTGGCAGAAATTAAACAAGATGCCGTTCCTCTCAACCTCCTCCATAACTCCCTCGCGCTTCCCCCGGCGAGGAAGCCTCCGCGTGCCCGGCACAGAGCTCCCAATGCCGGCCGCGAAATCTCAAAACGGCGCCCTCCGCAAGTTCCCCCATCCCCGGTAGTCCGCGCTGTTTCTATCCGGCAGCCGGCTCGCTATTTCCGCCGTGTAGCCCCGCGGAGCCCCGCTGTCTGTCTGGAGCTGCGCTGTCTTCTTTCCGCGAGCCCTGCAACAAGAAAAGCCGTTTATGGCGACACACAATGTGAAAAGGGGGCCGATTTAAAAAGGAGAAGAATGCAAGAACAACAAAAGTCAGTTATAGCAAAGTCTATGCCTCTCCTATCTTCCACCCCCTAGCTTAGCCCACATAATGAGCAGGAAAAAGCTTTATATTTTGTTCACTGGGTATTCACAGATAATTTGAAGCCATTGTTTCTGCCACAGATGGTTCTTTTAATACAATAACGGTGCTCTTTGTGAATAGCAAGCCCACAATAAAAATCTAAAGCGTCCTCCTGAATAACCATTTTGTTCTCTCTTGTATAGGCCGAACAAAAGCTCCAGTGAGGTAATGGCCTGCCTTATTGAAAGCCTCAGAATGGGGATTTGATAAAGATTTTTTTCGCTCCTTTTTTCCTTTTGCACAAAGTACATGGCAATGTCAAAGAGAAACTGACACGGCATGAAAAGGAAATATCTCGAAAAAGTGCATGCTGTTGAAGCTTGAGACGATTATTATTATTATTATTGTCATGATGAAGCTATAATTATTATTCTGCTATTGTTTACATTTCTTAACTTTGTGCAAAAAGTCAGAGGTGAGGGGTTGTTTTCGGGGTGCTGCAGCAGAGCAGGTCAGGTGCAGGCGTGTTATGGTTTTTACAATGGAGCTTAAATCCAGAATACATTAGCCTCCAAAGGTCTGCTGTGGATTTGGCACAGCCTCATCATTTTTGCATAGGGTGAGTCAAGTTGTGCTTGATAGAATTAAGCATTCAGGGCGCATACCCCTGGTGTCTTGCAGAAAACTCCTGTTTCTAATTCTACCCTTTTCACTATAATGGATGCATGCCCTTAAAGCGTTGATAAGGCACTGTGAAATGTCATAAATGCATGGTTGTTAATAAGGAGGGAAAGCAGGTAGCCTAATGTAACCCGCTAAGGTGGTGCTGCACGCCTGCAGGTGTGTGTGCCTGCAGGTGTGCACGCCTGCAGGTGTGTGTAGTCAACATGTCATAGCTCCCTCCACCAGGATGGATCCTGCAGCCGCGTGCAGGCCACCTCGATGCCCACGGTTGATGTCATTTGTAATTAACTCATGGCTAATCAATAAAGCGTTTAACAGAAAGCACAATGGACTCACAGGGGATGATCCCAAGCCAAACATATTGGATGTCACTGATCGTTATAAGGTGAGGACACCCTGTCTATCAAAGGGGTGGAGGGAGGTTGTGGGGGATGCAGCAGGAGGAGATAGGGACACTAGATGAGGGATTGAGGGGTGAGGAGGAGAGAGGAATGAGTGGAGGGAAAGGAGAGGGGATACAAGGGGGGGATAATGAAGGACAGAAGAGGTGAGAAGTGTGTAAAGAATCCCATTTCAAAACATTGATATAGAGGCGCACACACACACAACCAGTTTTCTTCTACACACACACTAGCCTGCTCATCCTTTAACCAATCACATTTTATAAAGTTTTCACAATGAATTAAGACTAAGGCCTCATATTGTATACTGCGTCACCATAGATTTGGAATTATTCTTTACTCAGTTCATATGAGAAAAATGTCCACACACTGATAAAAAGTTACTGGAGTTTCAGTCGTAGCAGCACCATCGGCATCTTTCTGTTTGTGTGCCGGCAAATTAAATCAGTTCCTCTCTATAAAATAAGGAAAACACAACATGATCGGCATTCCATGTTCCTCTTTTGACACTATCTATTGTGACCATTGGTTTCAATAAGTCATTTTATAGTAATCAGGATTGTTTCCCGAAAATAAATAGCTTCATCTTTTTTTTTATTTGCATTACAAACAGACTAAGTGATGCATTTAACATTTCTAGAATAGTGGTTTTCAGCAGAACAAGGCATGGTAGCTGAACAAAAACAACAGACAGCGAGAGAGCTTAGTGGACTCTATATGCATACACAACATACCAAAGCTGAGGGGAATATTTCTGAAAAACACTTGGGTTAAGAGAAGAGGAAAGGGAAAAGCAGCAGAATCAGCGTCACAGGAAGATTTACAGACTCAGAGAAAAAACTGAAAGAGGGGGATCAGTGCTCTCAGTGTGAATAGGCTTAGCAGTAGAAGTAATATGACTTTGGCTCTTTATCTGATCAATCTGTGCCATATATTCTAAATCACACACACACACCACTCCTATTAGAGAGCGAGAGCCCTTTTAATTATAAACCCATCTACAGAGGCTGAATGTGAGCGCATGAGTCCAGTGGCACCATGAGAGCCTTTAGAAACATCATCACTGAATGCTAATGCCTTTCACATTGAATCTGTCTATTGACATGTGCACACACAATACACACATATGCATACACACTCATGCTCTATATGCATGAGAGTGGACACATTTGCTGCGTCTGTTTTGTGTGTTTTCTCGCACCTTGGCCTGATGGGAGATCCACAGTGGGCTCCCTTTGTGCATCGGCATAGTTTCGTGTGTGTGTGTGTGTGTGTGTGTGTGTGTGTGTGTGTGTTATACAGACACATCAACACAGTAATCAGTGAAAAAGGGGAGCCCTATTGAGGGAGATATGGCAAACCAACTGCCAATCATGTCACACCTCACAGCCATCATTAACACTGCTATACTTGCCCTTGAGTAGAAAACAGTAATATTGTTGAATGGCTAGAAACATTATATCAGCAAATACGGAAAGTTAAATAGTTTAAATCTAGAGTTGATTATTATAAAAGGTGATGTAATAATATTCTACAGCCACTCTTTTCTGTTTCAAAAAGTGTGTTTATTTGTTCATTGTATTGTTGAAAAATATGTCTTGCTTAAATCTTGCTGATTAAGTTCAACTGAGACCAAATACCATCATTACCAAAAAAACGGAGCATCGAATTCTCATATTGTTTTTTATTATACTGCTTCTTATAACACTAAAAAGGGACAGTCCGTTTTATGAGTCTCTTTCTTAAAGGCTTAATTTTCCTCTATGAATTTAAACAGTCATTTTCCAGAGCTTTCTGGAGAAAAAAACCATCTGCTATCGATACATCTGCAGAAGATGGCCTCTTGTCATATTTAAGTCTGCACAGACCAGACAGAATGTAACAAACTAGAGGCCAACTTTCTGTAATCACTTTCCTATTTATACTCCTCTTCTTGTCAGAATACAGAAAGACAGACAATTTGACAGTATCAACACCGACCGTCCTACTCTACGAGATGTTGGAATGTCTAGCTTCGATTTTGCTTTACAAGTTTTAGCGTTGAAGGACACATTTTCAGGAAAAGACTTAGATGCTTGTGTGGACAACATTTGCGTATGTTAACAACAAACTGCTGTAGTATGTACATGGCAGGAATCGGAAAAGTGCAGGACAGATGCTGTAGTCCTGCAGCTGTTTGTTCAGGAACCAAACACACACGCACGCACAAGTTTTTCAGGTATGGTTCATGGTAATAGATGAATGTGATTATTATGTCTGGACTTTAAGCTTTAATGTGAGTAAGTTCAGGAAAGCTGAAACAAATTCAACTCTAAAAGAGGCTCTAAGGATAGATATTACATTGCACTTCAACTCAGAACAGAAAGATAACTACATTCGCTCATAAAGCCAAAGTGCTGGTGCATTAGTTTGTAACAGGCCAAACCAAACAACATGTTTTTGTGTTAGGTTTAATGGCCGTGCAAAGACATTTACGGTCTCCTATTGACTTTTTCCACTGAGAATATTAGCATGCGTGATGTCAACTTGAGAGTTTTTTAAAAGTAAAATATAATGTTGGTGATTTTCTTTCTGCTCTGTCTGTCAAAAACTCACAAATAGCAGAGAAATTTTTTATGATGAAATTAGAATGATGTATTTAGTGAACTAAACTGCTATCATTTCAATCCTGGACATTTTGCTTTTCTATAAAGCTGCAGCTGAACAGTAGCATGGTAAAGAAGCACAAATGATCTCTTAATAATCCAGCCGCAGAAACAACTGTTCTTTGGTCTGATGAAGACTTGTGTGGAAGAAGGCATTGAAGCACCACCAATGCCTAAATGAAATGTTAGCTGACGCTTTTACCCCAGGTAAATATATAATGCACATGTCGTCAATAAAATACATTTGTATATTCCACCCTTATGTGCTAAGACTTCTGTGTAGCTTTTTTTTCATACTTCTTTCATACTTAGTTCATATATTATGGTTTCTGCACTTATCGTAAGTCGCTTTGGACAAAAGTGTCAGCTAAATGATATGTAATGTAATATAATGTACCATAGGGATAAACCAAAATGCCAATTAAAACATCAGAAATCCAAACATTTAGTGAATAGACATTTAGATTAAAGATTAGACAGGACATTAGCATGATGGATAAGTAAATGCAGTCGGTGTAAGATTTAAGATCTAGATGATGACATTTAAGGATAGTATTTATAATCTTTAAATACTTGATTATTGTGTTAACTTGCAACGTTTAGGCCACATCATGACAACCAAACCAAAATCGTTGACTGATGGTTGCTAATGGCTTACTATTTGACTAACTACATGTCCTACATTATAAACCAACACACCGGATGATTTTATCATTAGAATGATCAAATACTGGATGAAAACACAGAAAGCCTGGTCATCAGATCAGCTACATTTTCAGTGACATCATATTAAAATGACAAATTGTATAGTTAGCTAACCCATTTGATTGGATTGGATTTGAGTGACAGCTAATAATGATCAAAACCAATAATAAGAGTGACGAGCATCAGGAAATGTGATGCATGGCTGGAATGACATTTGAATATTTGTTGGCATTTCAGTGCAGAATTAACCCCAAAACATCGAATCAAAACATCAGATCAGCCCGATGAAGAAGCCTGCTTTAATATATCTTATTCACTGGGCTGATGGATGGTTATTTATGAGTATTAAAGTCAGATTAGCAGGATGTCTCAAAGGAGAACTCTCGTCACTTGAGTGAAAATGTTCCTGCTGAGCCCGTTACAAGCAGCTGCATCTGGCTCAATGAAA